TCCAAAAAGGGACCCAAAAGGACCAACACATGACACGTGGGAGAGTCCGAGATGGAGTCCGAAGTGGAGTCCGAGGTGGACCCGAGATGGACCCGAGATGGAGTCCGAAGTGGAGTCCGAGGTGGACCCGAGATGGACCCGAGTTGGAGTCCGAAGTGGAGTCCGAGATGGACTTGAGTTGGAGTCCGAAGTGGAGTCCGAGATGGACCCGAGTTGGAGTCCGAAGTGGAGTCCGAGATGGACCCGAGTTGAAGTCCGAAGTGGAGTCCGAGATGGACCCGAGATGGAGTCCGAGATGGAGTCCGAAGTGGAGTCCGAGGTGGACCCGAGATGGACCCGAGATGGAGTCCGAAGTGGAGTCCGAGGTGGACCCGAGATGGACCCGAGTTGGAGTCCGAAGTGGAGTCCAAGATGGACCCGAGATGGAGTCCGAGATGGAGTCCGAGATGGAGTCCGAGGTGGACCCGAGATGGACCCGAAATGGAGTCCGAGATGGACCCGAGATGGAGTCCAAGATGGAGTCCGAGATGGACCCGAGATGGACCCGAGATGGAGTCCGAGATGGAGTCCGAGATGGAGTCCGAGATGGAGTCCGAAGTCGAGACCGAGACCGGGACCGAGACCAAGACCGAGATCGGGACCGAGACCGAGACTGAGGCCGAGGCCGAGACCGAGCCCGAGCCCGAGTCCAAGTCCGAATCCGAGTCCGAGTCCGAGTCCGAGTCCGAGTCCGAGTCCGGAGCCTGAGAGGGTGAAAGCCCAAAGCGTTCGTCTCCCAGACCCTGGGGGGTTTGGTGAGCTCCAAAAGTATAGTAAGGGGGAGGACTGCAGTGGAGCCAGTTTGGCCAGGAAAGGCCAGTTTGGCCCAGGAAGGCCAGACCCAGTGTTGGGTGATGAACTGACCACTGGGAAGTCTAAGACTAGAGTGAATACGGACCGACAAGCGGGGTAGCTTGGTGAAGTGTTCAAGAGCCCGCTCTAGTTCCCCCGGGAGATCGACTGGCCGATGCTCCCAGTCCAAGTGTGGGTGGCACTACCTACTTGGATACCAGGCGTGGCTCAACGGAACCTCGCTCTAAGCCCATGGCTAGAGCACCTAAAGGCGATAGGTGGGGAGAGTACCCAGGTGGCTCGCGTAAGGCCACGGTGTTCCGAAATGTCGTCCCAAAGGCCCAGACTGTGGAAAGGAAGAGGAGCAGTCCTCTGGGGTAGTGACCAAGGACACAGTCGTGTGGTGAGGAAGTCCCAGAGGACCGTGGGACTTAGTGGTCGGGCCTGTGGGCCTCGATCCAGTGGCAGTGTTGGCAAACACGGCCAGGGGCAGAAAGGGACTTGGTAGGAACTGACAAAGGGACTTTGGGGAAGGTGATTCCCCAGGTTTGTGGGCATCCTAAGGATGCTAAGGAGTGGATCTAGGATGACCCCTCGTAGACAGATGGCCCAGTCTTGGAGAGACGGGATGGTGATGCAAGTGGTATTGGACCATTTGCGCAGCAAAGGTGAATGGGCATGGCCTTAGCGTAACGGGCCGAGATGTCAGTGGTACCTTTGGGTGTCGGTCATGGGATCGGACACGTGGAGCACTTGGACCAAGTGCAAAGGTTGAGTGGCATGGATGCCATTCTCGGGGCTAGCAAGCCCCAAGTCCTGAATGGGACTTATGGCGGTTGTGAATGAGACTCCTCCAAGTGGTCAGAGGTGTGGTTAAGTGACTAAAGTAGAATGGAAAAATTAGTCGCTTACACCATCTCGGACTCCACTTCGGACTCCAACTCGGGTCCACCTCGGACTCCACTTCGGACTCCATCTCGGACACTCCCACGTGTCATGTGTTGGTCCTTTTGGGTCCCTTTTTGGAGCCTCGCCTTTTGCTCGCTTCGTGCTCGTTCCCCGAGCACTTCGTTGGGAGTTCCACTCCCACTCTTGACTTTTCAAGTCGGAGCTTTTTGTCCAAACGTGTTACGCTCGTTTGGCTCTCGCTTCGGCCACTACCATGTGGCGCCCTTCCGGCTCCACTTTGGGGCCTAGGGATTTTGTGTCTCACACCTCTCTACTATACATTTGGAATCCCCCACAGCCCCCCCCTTGAGGAACACATGCTTTGGGCCTTCACCCCAAGCCTCCCTTAGTACCAGGAGTTAGTCTCTGGGACAAACTCGAAACTTACTAAATATAGAATGTCCTTAGATTGCGAATTTGGACACGGGACGAACACCATTGTGTTCGAGTCGATCTCTACATTCCATAGATATGCCAAATGAGCGAATCTAGACACTTTCCATAAATAGCATTTGGGACCGAAATGAGACTAACACAAAGGGCATGATAGCGAGGGTGTTTGGCAAACACGGTAAGCTATCATCCAGTGATATTAAGGGACCAATCTCAATACGCGAGGGTTCTTGTCAATAGCCAGTGCAAGACAAAACGAGATAGGAACTCCTTACCGGGCTAAGTATGCTTAGCTAATAACACGTAGGAATTCCGTCCTTATGCTCGTCCGGTCTAAGTACACTCAAAATGCCTAGTTAACTCCACTAGCACAAGAGGGGCTGATAAAGGGTCCAGCAATACCAACCTCTTGCCATCGTGGCAGTAAGGTAAGAGTGTCCGTAAGGACTGGTCGACAGGTAACTTTCGATACCTGAAGTCACATTTGCGACAATGGTGTAAACCATGCTCATCCATATATATGTTTTCATGTGGTTTTGGTTAACAAGTGATTTTTCAAAGATAACTTAGGCACTACAATGGCAATTTGAAGTGTTGGCTTGGATCAACAAACTCCTAATGCTATTATTATATAACTCACTCCCAGATTGTTTTGAAAAATTCTAGAGATTTTTGAATCATTTTGTTTTTGTTATAAAGCTCAATTGCTTCAATACTTTAAATTTTTCTAGCATATATTTTTAACTCTTGCTTGAATTTTAAGTCTGTTAGACAATGGTATTTGATTAATTTGCACTTTATCATGTAAGCGACAAAATTTTCCGTTCTACTTTAGTCACTTAACCATACCTTTGACCACTTGAAAAAGCCTCACTCACCACCTCCATATGTCCTATTCTTGACTTAGAACATGCTAGCTTTGTAAATGACATCTATGCCACTTAGCCTTTGCACTTGTCTGATCCCATGACCGACACCCAAAAGTACCACTAAGATATCAACCCATTATGCTAAGGCCATGCCCATTCACCTTTGTTACATCGACAGTCAAAGACCACCTACATCATAGACCCATCTTTCAAAGACTAGGCCATTTATTTATGAGTGATCATCCTATGATCACATCTTAGCATCTTTAAAATGTTGGAAGACATGGAGAACACCTTTCTCTAATATCCCTTCTTCAGTTTCCACCAAGTCCCCATCCACTACCATGCTTGTCGACACTACACTAGATCAAGGCCTAAGGGCCCGACCATTGAGTCCCATTAAGCTTTAAGATTTCCTCACCATGTGACCGTACCACAAGAGGACTACTTCTCTTCATTTCCATAATTTAGAACTTTAGAATGACATTTTGAAACACCATGGTCCTACGCAAGCTTCGTGGGTACTCTCCCCCACCTTCCGCTTTTGGGTGCTCTAGCTATGTGGCTAGAGCAAGGTTCTGATGAGCCACGCTAGGTAATGCCACCCACATTTGGATTGGGAGCATTGATCATTTAATTTCTTAAGGAAGCTAGTGTCGGCTTTTGAACATTTCACCAAGCTACTCTGCTTGTTTATTTATATTTACTCTAGCCTTGAACTTCTTAGTGGTTATATCATCACCCAACACATGGGTATAACCTTCCTTAGTCACATTAGCCTTTCTTGGCCAAACTGACTCCACTGGAGTCCTCCCCCTTACTATACTTTTGGAGCTCACCAAACCCTTTAGGGTTTGGGAGACAAACACTTTGGGCTTTCACCATTGGACTCGAATTCAGACTTGGACTCGGACTCGGTCTCAGACTTGGTGTCAGTCTCTTTCTCGGCCTTGACCTTGTACTCCATCTCATGTCCATCTTAGACTCGACCTCAGACTCCATCTCAGACTTGACCACAAGCTCCATCTCCGGTCCATCTCAGACTCAATCTCAAGTCCATCTCAAACTCCATCTGGGGTCCATCTCGGACTCCATCTCGGGTCCATCTCAAACTCCATCTCAGATTCATCTCGGACTCCATCTCGGGTCCATCTCAGACTCCATCTCGGGTCCATTTTGGATTTCATCTCAGACTCCTTTTTGGGTCCATATCTGACTCTATCTCGGGTCCATCTTGGACTCCATCTCGGACTCCTTCTCAGGTCCATCTCGAACTCCATCTTTGGTCCTTCTCGGACTCCATCTCGGGTCCTTCTCATACTCTTTCTTGGACTCCTTTTCAAACTTGTTCCTGACACTTCCATGTATTATGACACTTGCCATAGTCAGTCCTTTTTATGTCCCTTTTTAGAGACTCATTCACCGATTGTTTTGTACTCATCCCTTGAGCATTTCATTTGGAATTCCACTCCCACTTTCGACTTTCTAAATCGAATCCTTTGGTCCATATATGTTATGCTTGTTGGACTTCCGCTTTGACCACTACTATGTGGCACCCTTTCTACTTGACTTTGGGGCTTAGGGATTTATGTCTCCCAACTCCACAAAGTTTGATGTTTTCATTGAATGATAAACCATTTTATAAAATAAACCCATCATGAATTACCATTTTTCATCCTTGACACCTAGCCAATATTTGTCAACAGTTTAATACCAAAGGCTCACTATATTTTTCCCATCATCTAAAGAGCATAGTCTCTCTAACTTAGAGACTTATTAAACTAATTATGGTGGTTCTTTCTCTTTATTTGGTTTAGTTCTTGCTAAACCCATTAGAGATAATATAATACCATGGAAGAGATTGATTGGATCGACCACCTTAAGCAAGTTAGACATCACACTAGTTGAGGGAAATGCCACTAGAACTTGCACCACGCTTGCAAAAACAACAAAGACTTGATGCCAGCAGATTTTTTCCTCCCTTCTGTTTCCTTCAGAGAAGAAGGTAAGCCATCGTCGCCATCATCATCGTTGTCTCCTCACTTGTGTCTCGCGGTTTGTACATCCTGGAATTCTTCAGATGCTGCTTGGACCGTGTCAGTTGTTCAGAAGAGAATGAGCATATGTCGAGTGCCTTCCCAGCTTTTCTCTAACCAGCAGCAGTAGCAGCAGCAACCGGCGGTGGTCGACCATTCCTGTGCCCCTACAAAGGTTGTGACAAGTGCTACTTCTACGAGTACAAGCTCAACCTCCATCTCAAGAGGGGGCATGTCAAGGAGGAGATGGTGGAGCACAATGGCAGCAATGAGTTTAGTGATGGCAGTGATTCGGAGCATTTGGTCCGGGGGCCCGGGAAGGGAAAGATGAGGCTGGGAGGAGGAGGAGGAAATTCAAGGCTGGCATCCACAGCAGCGCTGTGAGCCAAGAGAAAGAAGACGGTGGCAGCGGGAGGAGGAGGAGGAGGAACATCGAGCGGAATGACGAGGATACAAGAGGCAGCAGTGGTGGAGACAAACTTGGTGGGGAGGAAAGTGATAATCAAGCACGAGATCCAGGAAGATAGTGAGTGATCATCCCTTGGGGCAGGATGATCTGATGAACGATGCTGGGGGGAACAACGAAGTGTTTGAAGATGATGAAGAAACTGAGGACGATGTGGACTAGTTACTTTGGTCTCTTTACTTTTGTGTGTTTTACTTGTACAAAATGTGTAAACAAAGTAAGGTGATTAAAAGAAAATGAAGAAAATCACCGTCAGATTCAAACCTGCGCGGGCAAGTCCACATGATTTCTAGTCATGTCCCCCTTGGCTGCTAGTTTTGAAGGTCAAGAGGAATGAAGAGGACGGATTCTTCAATTCTTGTAAATATTATTGCATTTTGAAGAGTAAATTATTTTCTATTCAGTAAGACAATTCTAGCTTAAGCAGCCAATATGTTTAGAATAATCTAATGTCCACCAAGCTCTGCTTGGATATGTTGTCAAGTAACTCACCAGTTTACAATTATCTTCAACTGTAATATAAGTTAAAAGTAAACAGTTTGGTTTGTCATAACAATACGTATTGGGAGACCATAATACATTTCGTTTAGAAGTATATAACACTAAATTACCATCATTTTGCAGATCTAAAAAACACTCTCCAAAATATTCATTATTTGGAGATTCCCATAAATTAGTTTTTCCAGAAAAAAATGCAAGTTTACAATTCATTTTGATATATAGTACATTCATACGATTTGGGGATTGTAAAAATTTACCTTTATATAAAATATGATCAGAGAAACCAGCACTTAAAGTAGTCAGAGTAATATCACAATTTTCAAAATATTTAAAAACTATATTTATATTTTCTAAATAATTTAAGGGTTTCCAATGAGTTACTAATATATATCGAATAAGATAATTATTAGACACAATTCTACATTCACTAGAAAGTGCTTGTATTAAATCATTTATCACCTTTTTAATTATTTCATTTATTGATTTTTGGAGAGAACCGCCTAAAACTGGTTTTCCAGTTGAAATTCCTGTAGAACAATATGGAGTACTTCCAGCTAAACGTTGAATTCTTATAACAACACCTCCTCCATCAATATCTATTAAATCAGTATCAACATAATTTTGTGGATAAAGATGAGATTCATGTAATTTTAGTGCAAGTCTTTTTATGTTCTGTAAAATTATATTAATATCTTCTTCAGTAAGTGAATTATTTTTACCCCAATCTATATCTATTTTACCAAATACAATTCTACAATGTATAACTAAAATAAAAAGAACTAAAATTATAGACATTAAAAATGAATTTTAAATACAATTAGATATATTTTTATATATAGAAGAAAATAAAAAATAATTAAATTTTTTAATTATGATAAGCCACTAGCTATTTCAGAGATTGGTTTATATTTATATATAGTAATATTATATAGCCTAGACTTTGAGTACTATATTTGTTTAAAAACTTTTACCAATGTATTACCACATGGCTGGGTTTAGAGGCAATTCCTTCATGGACATTCTAGCCTCCAAAGAATGAGGTTTTTTGTCGCAGTTCATTGAGACATCTTGCTCTCCAAATGTCACAGCCGGCATGCCCAATCAGATTGGTAGAAGAAGACACAGATGGCACTGTGTGATGACCTCTTTTCCATTTAATCCATTTCTCTGAAAACCATGGGATTGAATGTTTGAATCAATGTTGTTCGACAGTCATCAACAACATTTTCAACTTGGAAGCACTCCTTGCACAAGTGGCAATCTTGGAGTGGAAAAATATTGTAGAGTTAGAGCTGTAGTTAAAGAAATAGAGGACATCTGATTGCAACAAGCAGTCCAAGCCACACAGTCATGCCACCATCCTCTGTGGAACTCATAGTCGAGGTGGATAGAGTCGATCATCAGTGCTTTGTCTATGGTTCCTTTCTGGGTGGTAAGGATAAATTGCATGGTTTCATTCCATGCTTGCACTTTCACCAGTAATAGCCCTGTCTCCATACAGAGAATTCCATTGTGCATTCGGTTTTGAAGGCAATGTAATTGTGTTCATTTTTTATATTTTCTGAATGACACCATGTGTAAGTTTTATTTGACATGTACCAAGTTGCGATGCTTACTGGGATTTATCCCACTCCGTGTTTTGCAGGCACGCCGGATCGAGATGGTCGGGCCCCAGCCTGACGCAGTTGATGTAATTCACCAAGCTGTGGCCGGCGATCCCAGGCACGAGCAAGCCTGCAATCCTTGCCACAGTGGACAACCTCGTCTCGCTAAACTCCCCGCCATATCTATAGCTCATGAAGAAGCTCTGGACGAGCTCGAACAGCGCGTAAAGCCGGGACAGCACCATGTAAACCGGGGAGAGGAAATTGGGAAATGGCTCGTCCGGAAGGATCTGTGCAGAACGTTAATATGGATCCTACACAGAGAGCAGTGTCTCGAAGTAAAGTACCTGGAGGGTGTAGTTGTAAGTGAAGTAGCAGCAATTCCCGAAATGCTTGAAGCCAAACAAAGAGTTGTCGAAGGGAACTCGAGCTACAATGTCGTTATTGTAGACAACTCTAAAGTACCTCATGGTTGGCTTGTTTAAGCTGGTGTCCATGAAGGACGCAAAGCTCTTGTCTCCAACGCGGGGCTGGCCAAACGTATAGAGCGCCGCGAGCCTCCTGGCAACGTCGTCCTCGGTGTTGTAAAAGACTTGATTCTCTTCCCGGTTGTAGAAGAGCATGGCGGTGAAGAGCGTCGCCAGAGCGCCGCCGAGGCTGTGACTGGTGATGTAGAGCTTTGCGTTTCTGTGGTTCCGGAGGATGGTGACGAGCTCCGCGCTGATGTGGTCGTATGCGAGCAGCTTCGTCTCATCGCTGAGGACAAAGTCGGGTAATCCAGATGTTGGAGTCTGTGGCAACGGAGTCCTCGAGTTCTCGTAGATGTTCTGCTTCAACCTCTGGAAGCTTTGCATCCTGGTCCTGTCGCCCAGGCCCAGTGCTTCGAGGAATCCGAGATGGACACGGCCGAGCTGCGGGAGCTCGTACCAGGAGAAATCCAAGTCTGTGCACCAGTCGTATGCATTGAAGGCTTCCGTTCCCCGGAAGGCAAGAACGATGGCTCCGGCATCAGTTTCCCGGTCCGCAAAGATGAATGCTTGAGTCGAGATTTTTTTCTGAAACTCTGTAGCATGAAAGGGTGAGGGCAACGTCAGATGAAACTGGATAGCGACCTCTTACCGTTCCAACAGTTGTAAGTTCCTAGTAGATGCATCTGCAAAGGAGAAGCGGATGGAGTCAGAGGTTGTGCAAGGCTTGGACTTACCTTCCAATTCTGATTCACGACAAATTCGATGAACTTTGGGTTCTCATACGCAACGTTAGACGCCATAGCACAAACATCTGCTACCGCTTTGGAGTCTGGACATGAAAGACACAGACGCTGAGACGAAGGGGCTTGGAGGAGCCTGATTCTTGGTTCCATGTGGCCGTTGAAAGTTAGGTAGCTCTCCGAATCCTCGGAAGGATCAACAAGCCCTGGAAGAACAGCACACAATCAAAAGTCAACACCGTGAAATCAATTCTAGTTACCTTGTGGATCCATCGAAAGAGTATACAAGGTCCTGAGAATTCCTCCATTGGATGCACAAAGGTTAATTGCCTTCTCCACCCATCTTCCAAAGTGCTTCAGCGGTTGAGAGACAGACCTCACGCTCCAGAGCATAAACAGAGAAAATCTCGCTCTCCAATCCAAGTTCACACTCCCGACGTCCAAAGAATGCGAGATGTGAGCCCACAGGTACGACCACACTCGTATAGTGTGCTACGAGATAGCAGCTATCATCTGCGACACGTCACAATGTCGAAGATCAAGAGCGAAGAGAAGAATAAGAGGATAGCTTGAAAACATGACCACAACTCCTTATCAAAAAGAGGATTTTATAGAGTTCTTCTGGAAACAACTTGGCAACCGCGGAAACTTCAATCCCGCACGTATCCTCCTGCAAGTTTTTGCAAAAACACGAGGTTAGCGCCCACACTGTTTACTTTGCCTGCTACCCTTCCACGCCGATCTCAACATCCTGGCCGTCGTCTAGTTGCTTCTCCCGATTCCGGACGCTGGTCTTTCGGAACTTTCGCTGCCACCTCTGTTGTTGCGTTTGAATTCCTGAGTCGCAACTCGGCCTTCCCTGTGTTGATACACCTGGTTTCCCGGACATATCCTCATTGTCGCGCCTCTGTCCGGAAGACTCGGACCACATCCTCGCCCGGAGCGCTGCACTTTCTTTCTGCCGCAACGTTGCTCGAGTATCTTGCTTGAATTAAAGCACCTGGAGAATAACGAAGTCGTCCCAAAGCTCCGAGAGATGGGACTTCCAAACTCTCTCTCCTTAAGACCGAATTCTGACCGGTAATCTGACCGAAATCTGCTGAAGTGCTCGAGCCAATAGAAAGGTCTTCATCTAAACTGCTAAACCTCCATCTATCAACCCGTGATGGCCACAACTCTTCCTCGGAACTGCATTGCGTCAGCCTTGCTGCTATAAACCGTTGTCGGGTATGGAAGAACTTCAGGAAAACAAGAGCTCCCCCTTGGGCTCCTCGAGAGAGGCAACACAAAAGGCCCGCCCAATGGAGCTTCACTTAGCTGGCCATGTTTCTTCTTCACACTTCTTCTGGCCTTTTTCACCGATGTAGTTTTGGAGGCAGTCAGTGCTCTGATTCTCTTCTCAGCGTTAACCAGGATGATATGAAGGTTGGCCATATCGCTTTCAGATGGTAGTTCGTGTGGCACGGGATCGTCAACTCTGAAACTCTGAAAAAATATCACACAAGAAAAGAAAAGGAGAAAAGGTTCAGCTTCTAGCCATCGTCACGATGGAAATAAAAGCAAGGCACTCACCGCCCGGTTGGATTCGCTTTTAGGCTTATTGTTCTTCGCCAGCTGAAGTTTCCGGTAAGTTGAAAACGGAGCGCGTAATCGAACCGAGCATCTTCACAGGAGACGACCGGGATCAAACTTAACAGTTTGTCTTTAACCGCATCGGGACGAGGCGTCCCAGACCTCTTCTCAAACTCCTCTTCCAGATTCTGCAAACAAAGCCGACATGAGGGCACATACAACTATGGAATCTCTTACCAAAAGTTCTTGTCCAATTGAGTTCAGTGCTTTTGGAGTCATCTGGTCGATGTAAAGGACACCCTGTGCGAACAAATACCACGGCCACCTTCATGTTTGCACAAAAAAAATAAACAAACGAGACATTACCTCCAGGTGATCATACTCATGTCGGAAAATTCGAGCAGTCCAGCCCCTGAACGTTGATGTCTTGAGCTTTCAACTCGGATCGATATCAGTCTCTGGAAACAAAGACGCAAGGTATAAAAGAGAATTTCTATGTACAAAGGAATAGTACCTAGACATCGGCTTGAGCGCCGAGTATCAGCTTCTCGCTCTTTCCCAAACTTGACAATCATTGGATTCACGAAAACGTACCCTTTGCCTTTGCCTAATTGTGGAGTCGACAAGCCTACTCCATCTCTCCTGGCAAAAATGAAAAGAAAGACAAGAAAACAAGGCATGCCAACGTTGGACAGTAATGAAATTCGCGAGGAACATACCTGTACGTCACGTCCAGCATAAGCTTCTTGACATTATCATCGAAGGAATTGATGCAGATGTTCCTCGCGCGGAGCTTGGGATCGGGATACAAGACAAAGCTAAGATTGGAATTGAATTCCACAGGGCCAGTTGCGAGGAAACAAGAAAATCAGGAGGCAAGAACCCTATACCACGCAATTTCACCATCGGCTTCCACTCTCTGTGAACAGTCGTGTAGCTGCCGTTATCACTTGAAATCCTCGCTGCTGCTGCTGTTGCCGGAATGTGCCCGCATTCAATCTCGATCGTGCTTCCAGGAATCCATTCCGAGCATTCGATGGCGCCACGGATTTCCGCCACGCGACGGCACATCACCGCCAGTTGCGACCATTGCCCAAATAACCACCAGAAATTAGGGTTCTTGCAAGGTTTTATATTGGCTGCTTGAGATTTCTCTATGGTAAAATTTGCCAAGACAAGACTGAAAATAAAGTGGAACTTCTCTCGGCTCTAAGATAGCAGCTCACAGGCATTCTAATTGAGTTGAGCTATAGAACTTATCTATATTTCAAAACCGAACACTTCGATTTCAAGATATAGGTTTGTGAATTACTTGATCAACAGAATATTACTGTATCATGACATTAGCAGAAGAGAATGTTTGAAAGAACTGATTGATAAGTATTTGAATGTGATTTCAGGTAAACAATTATGTGATACACTCCCCCCTAGTAAACTGACAAGGAAAAAATTAATAATTTGCACACTTTATAAGAGTGGGTGGATAGCCATGCTTCTCTCCAGAACTTCCAGCTTGGAAAGTCCGGAAGCCTATTCTCCAGCTGCTACTCAAGCAAGTAGCAAGCATTGGAGCATCGGCCACTTCAATATGGTTCTCCAATTCAGGTAGGACCTCTAGCACTACCTGTCTTTTCTGCTCTCCACATATCCTGAGCACAGTCCAAAAGAGCCCCGGAATTTCATCTTGACGAACACTTTTATATTCCCCTCCATTAGTCATGAAGATCAAAAAAAGTTAAAATCATTTCTTCTCTATGCAAGCATCAGATGCCCTCATACGATAGGTTTGCTGCCGTGGAGATGTCAGGCTCTTCATTGCGTCAACAAGCTCATCGCCAACGATGTGGCCTACTCGACTGCGTTCCAAGGTGATTGCAAAGAAGAGATGCAGGCCGCTTTACAAGGCCCCGCGAACTTGAAAAGGAGCCCCCGTCATCGCCATCTGAGAAAAAAGCGGACTTTGTGCTCCAGTATGAGATTGACAAGGAAGACAGGCGACCCAGGTTGACGCCTTCCCAACTCTGAGAGTCTTTGGACTCTTCAACAGATGACCTGCTGATAAACCTCAGTCTGCGAGCAATTCTTCTCCGAAGCACCATTCGGATTGGAAGATGTACGTGTACACTAAACGCTACACGCTTCGTGGCCTGCGGCTCAAGGTGACGTTGGATTTCGAACGCAACGCGGGCGTCGAGAATCTCTACCAGCCAGCTATGTACGCCATACAGGAACTCCTGGACACAGCAGCGCGTCCGAAGAGCTACAGACCGCCAGTTACCACCATGGTAAGAATAGTTAGTCACTTGGATCATGAGCGCTGACGTGACAAGGATGACTGGTATTACGGAATCCTGGAAATAGATGGTTTCGTTTGGGTGGAGAACCATCAGGTTGATCAGGCCAGCTTGCAAGGTAAATGACTGCAAAAACGGCTGCCCGTCTAGCTATTTGTGGTCGTGTGCGCAGAGTTCCCGGAAGAAAAGATGGAGGTGAATCCGAAGAAATTCACTCCAAGCTTCACCCGCACCGAATTACAGAACAACTTCGAAACGTGGAAGGACTTCGCTAAGATCAAGATGAGAATCCCCAATGGTCTTCACCCGGTTGGCCGCTTCTTCATCAGGTAAGAGCCGCGTTTCCAAGCACTTTGGTATTGACAGACTTGCAGGACGGTGCAAGGGTATAACAAGATGCCTACCCTTGGCGGTGAAGCGGAGCTTGCCAGGGGGCAAAAGAGGTTCTACGATGGCATGCTCAAGACTCTTGTTGGTCGTCAAGTCATCAACTGGAGTCCCCAGGATGCGCTCAATGCGTGGAACGCACGCAAGTGCCTCCTAGAGATCACTTAGGCGCTCAGCCAACAATAAACACTTGAGAAATGTCGGTGTTTTCAGGTTTTCCAATTTTTGATATGAAACTATACCTCGATCTTCTCTCTACTCCCACGCTGCACTGCCGAGTGTAGCCACTACAATGCCACCTGTTTGCTTGTCCATTGACAATCTAGGAAATGCCAAACTTGGCTGCCATGGTTTGCAAAATGAGCGATTGCTCCTTCCACAGGCAATAGAGCTTGACCATGAGCATGTCACAAGCCAAGTCACTGGAGCCACTGTCCAGACTCCACGAAGCGATCAAACACGGCTTTTCCCATGCCGGTTGTTTTTTTAATATAATTTTAGCATTATGTATAAATTTTTATATGGTTATTTTTACTCTAGTGCACTAATACATTTTCATATGGCTTTTTCACATAATTTTCTTATAGCCTAGATAGTTTATAGTTTTTCAAATAAATTATTTTTCACTGAAACATTGTTATCCAAATAGTTTTCTAGAGTTTATATGCTATATAATTATTCATATAGATTATAGTTTGATCAAATTATTCATGTCATAGCCGACCATCTAATCTACCCAGTTTATTATAAGCCTATATTATCCAATATCAAACGGCAATGTCTTTAACTCATCCATCCTTGAAAGTGTTTACTTGCCTATGTAAGTAAACAAAAAACTTAATATTATTCACTAAGAATTGCAAGATGGATCTTTCAAGTATAAAGTTTTTGGAACATTATCAATGCTCTCCAACAACTTGATCTATATAGTTTGCATTAATGTAACCTCCACAATATGGGCAAGCCTTCCTTAAAGTTCTACTATGTCCTCAACTAAAATTTATATTGCTGTTGTTGGAAAATACTTCTGGAAATTAAGATTGTATATATGATCAGAATGCATAAAATCAAGAGTTAAAATATGCCATCAAGTGTATTTATCTACCCTAAAAATGTGTTATTTAAGAAAAAAAACAGAAACAAAGTGCCTTAAACATTGTAATTAGAATTCTTATACTACTTTGCTATTAAATAAGTCTCAATAATATAAATTTTCTGATAAGTAAAATAATAATAATTTGCTGCATGTTGCATGTAGCAACATTTGGTTTGCTTAATAGTATTGATTATTATTATTTAATAATATAATTGATTAACTGGAAGTTTATAAAGACTAATCTTATTACATATCAACCATTAAATAAACTAGAATATACAAGGAAATATTTAGGAAAGTTTATAAGTTATAATTATATCTATAAAATTACAAATACGAGATTAATTCAAGTGAATAACAATCATTAGATAGTGGAATATCCTAGAATATTCAAGTATATTCTACACTACTCTAAGCAAACCAAAAACATAATAAAAATTCAAATTGCATTTGTGTTGGCATCAAAGATGGGGCCATTTTTGTTTTCTATGAGTTCCTCCAAACTGAACATAACTCTACATTTTGTAATCATTGGTATGAAATGGCTAACAATGATTTTAGTTTTATGTAAACATAAGCTAAGGATCCCTTTTTTTTTCTCCACAACAAGGCTATAAATTGTAAGGGCACAATTTTTATTTATAGTGTAATAAAGTAGGATCCTAAGATCTTCTTCAGACTTTCTAGTGGTAGTAGCCTATTAGTTTCTTTGATCTTTCGCAAATTCATACTTTTGAAGAATGATCTGTAGAAAAAAAAAAGTTAAGTAAAAATCATACCAAAACCTAGTTCACACCTCTTATGATGTTTCAACCATATTATTTTCAATTAGTGGGGATTTCATACAAAACCTGGAACTCACTTTTAGCACTATATGCTCTTCATAAATAAAGATATTGTCAGTGAGATTTTGTCCCAAATATTACTATAATATAGACATATATGAATTGCCATTCAATAGATTTAATTGTCCATATGGTCTCAAATGTCAATCTCTGGCTTATAGAAGATGGTCATAATATTTAATATGAGCCTCAACTATTCTATCAAGGCATCTCCAACCAATATAGCTATCACATATAAAGTATACCATTGAAAGAAAACCTTATTCATTTGCATGAGCCAAGAAAAAGATTTTATGGTGGTTAACATTATATCATCTTGTTAAAATGGTGAGTGAATAGTCATCATCCTTACCTTTGTTTTAATTTTAATCATGACTCTAAAAATCTCTTTATTGATTTTCTTGCAGTTGTTAATTGCAAGAGTATGTATTGGTTCCATGATGCATGCTTCTAAAATATAGAGTCTGCAAAAACAAGTTACAAAAATAGTAAGAAAAATATATAGTTATAAATATGTGTTTTTAGTTTCAATAGTAATGACTTTCCTTGAATCCCTTTATTTTATTGTACTTCTCTTAAATGGACTTGTAAACCATCAAGCTCGATAGTTTTAGTTTTTCAAACACCATTCTTTCAATCCTTTTATGTAGCTTTATGAATTTAGATAAAATACTAGCATTAGTTGTCTCCTAATGGCATCTCCTACATCTAATTTTATCACTATTTGACATCTTGAGAATCTTGCATTATGCAAAATGATTAAATTCAAGAATCACATAAATAACTC